CTCAAGAACAGTGTTAAATTGACTTAGAATGTAATAAATTGTTTTTGATTATTTTTTTTTGTAATTCCCTTTACCAAGGACATACAAGTGGTGATGCTCTAATTTGCTTGTTATTTAAAAAGAAAAATAAGGAAACAAAGCCAGCTTTTCAGCTGACATTAAACAGCAAGGGACCAGAACGCAGTCCTTCAATGACACATTCAGATAAGAGCATCATAGTTAAAATCACCAAGCAGGTAGACTGTTGGGCTTTCACATAATGAATCTGCTTGATAAAACATTTGCTTAAATACACACATACTAGAAATAATTATTCATATGCCAGCATTTCAATGTGAGAGTCTCTTGGAATTGAAATTATTTACATTATGTTGAGATGCATACAACCCATCTATAACAAAGAGACTAAGAATAAATAAAGTGAACGTTTATTTTAAAACAATTGCAAGATGTTTTACATTTCTGCTCAGTATCGAGCAGTGTGTTGAAAATGCATTTTTCATAAAACCACATGCAAGGCTTTTTGATGATGAAAAAATCCACTCACAACAGCCACATGTCTGGGCAAATCCTTAGAAGCTAGTATGGACCCCACACAGACATTCCAGAAGAAAAGACATTACTATAAAGTAGTTTCTCTTGAAGTGAAGTAGAATATGTGTGAGCCTACTAGGCCACTTTGATAAATAAATAAAAGTCTTTTTTTCTTTTCTAGCACAAAAGTGGTTCAACTGGAGGGCAAGTTAAGCCCAGATTCTCATTTTACGTAGGTTTTTTTTTTCTTGGTTTTTTTTTTCTTAAGTAAACCCTTGGTTTATACAAAGATGGGATTTTTTTTTTTTCTTTTCTTTTCTTTTCTTTTTTTTTTTTTTTTTTTTTTTAAGAAAAATAACTGTTTGGCTTTGAGTTAGCTTAATTTCATCTTCCTGGTGTTTCAGTGTATCTCTGTGAAACTTCCTTCCAAGACAAAGCCCGGTGTCCTAGGATTATTGATGTACATATCTATACTCTTTTACCTATGGGTTTCTTTCAAAATTGGTGTCATTAAACCAGTACAAAAGATCCTCTGAACACTCTTAAATTAGTACAAAGGTGACTTTATTTAGAGTAGTGTGATCCAACATAAGTTTTCTCTAAGCACTGTTGAGTCTGTAACTATATTTAACTACTCTGAAACTATATGTTACTATCTCCAGCATCTATCTCCAGTCTTCAGCTGATTCTTTGAAAGACACTGTCTGCTACCCTTAGTACTTGAACTAAATTTAGTCTTCTGTATCAAGCCTAAATAAGGCCTGAACATGAGCTTCTCTAAATCCTTCTCTCTTCTTGCCATACTGTGGGGTCACAAGCCTGTCTGCCTTCTCTTTGGCACATCTGGCACTCTGACCCCACACTGAAGTACAGCTGTGTTGGCTTTTGCTGCATTTTATTCACAACTTCTAATGTCAAAACTAGACAATGACTAGACCAGGACGTATATAATGTTAACATATTTATTGGTTGATATTTAAGTAAACTGATGCAACCTGTGTGGACAACTTTCACTTGCTATGTTTATCATTTTCTGAAGAAAGCTTGCCTCTATATTCCTGTTTATTCTGTTTTTACTAAATGGAATTAACCAAACCTTAGTTACTTGGATTTCTTTTCAGATTTGAAAAGAAGCACCATATAAAAGAGAAATCCTAAAAGCAATAGTTTCCCTGTAATAGGTAAAATACAGTTTTGTATCGCTTCTGGCCACGTTCTTTCTCACCTACGCTTCTCAGGGTAATGACTAAAGGAGAGGGCAGGAAAAAGACAAGTTAAGCATATTTTTAGGGATTTATATATTTTTTTCTGAGCAAGAACAAAATCTGTGGAAGTCCATAGTTTGTTACATTGTATGTTTGATTTTCATTTAGGGCTTAAACTTTCTCCACTGTGTCTTTCATATGAAATGGGCTAACCTAGCCTATATTGCATACCCTATCCATATAGTTTTAGAACCATTTGGTATGTTCCAAATTTTTTTCACCTCCTTAGAGCTACTAAACGAGTCCCCTTTCCATAGTAATACTTAGTAAGCATTCTGTCATTTTACTTTATTCTCCTGTGTAAAGCAGGGTTAGTCACTAGCTTGTTTAAATGTTGCAATTGATGCAGAAATAAATTTGTAGTTTTACTTTGTAATTCTCAGAATTGTGTTTTGTTCTTCATGGTGTCATATCTAAACTTTGGAAGGAGTCAAATTCATCCCCTTACACAAAAAGGTTAAGTGTCTTTTCAAATTAAGGCAGCAGTAATTAACCAGTGGCATTGTTTGTGATTTGCCAACTCTGGGCGTTAATGAGAGAGAAATTAGCCCTTAGCAGCAGGAGTTCCTGATAGTCAGTAGCAAATGCTTAATATGCCAACAAGTTAATTTTGGTCTTAAGTACTGCACTCAAGTGTTTCTTTAAAAAAGTATTGCATGTTTTTCATGTGATCATACATATGGGCTGTGTGATACAGAGCTATAATAGGAAGAATGGCACACTGTAATAGGAAAAAGTGCAACCTAGGCAGCACAGGGCAAATAGTTTTGCTGCAGGAACACAGTCAAAAGCAGGATTGATGAATGTTTTCATGCTAAAGATGTACTTGCTCCTGCAATTAACAGTATGCAGATGTTCATGTATATACATTTCATCAGTCTTTGCATTTCTGAACCTATTTTTATAAGCATAAAATATTTCTGAAAAATTGTGTTTGAGCTGTGATGATATGCTAGTAAGACATAAATTAGCCTTCTGAGGTGTCTCAAAACACTAATTTTATTAAAAATCACAATTGCAAAAAATAACAAATTACTTCAGCGCAGTGCCCCATGCGTTTTATGGTGGATAAGGGGATTCAGACTGCCACACAGAGCAAAATGAGCCCTTGAAAACTTGAGCTGAGCAGCTGCTCATTAGCATCAAGATTTCACCTGGTACACAAGCTTGTAATGAGTAAGTACCTGTGTACATTTCATAGCTTCTGCCTTGCGTAAAATAGCCCATTAGAAGTATACAGTCTGCTCTCTGCCTTCTGGGGGTTTTTGCTTTTAAAATAACTTTGGTTAGTACACAAGTACATCCCCACCCAATTATGCCTTTTCTGTGTTTGGTGATGTGGGAACTGATAATGTAGTTTGTGAAGTAGCAGCAGTAGGTCCATCCTGCACCACTGCCCCTCACCATAGACAGTGAGCATCAGTCCTGGGCTTCACCTGACATTGGCTCCTCGCTACTGCTGGGCTGTCTGGCCCCCCTGTGACAACAAGGTCCTGCACAGCTCGGCCCCAGAGGAGCACCAGAAAAGGCAAACAAGGAGAAGACCTCGGAGACAGTAGAGGCTGAAGCTGTTGGCCAGTCAGAGAAAACTTAGGAACTGGGTGTAGGCATCATCGTTCTTCCATATGAGCCCCCGTGCATCTTTCAATGCTAAACCTGTTTGAATACATTAGCTATTATAGCTGGATTTGTCAGAGTTTTAAACTTTCCACTTTTCAATATCATCTTTCACTTGCAAAAAGCACATTTGCCAGTGTTGCCTCAGCTATGAGGCAATTTACTTTGCCACTGAACTGCGGCCACTTCTAGGCTGAAGAGTAGTAGCCATTACCCAAAATGTTACAACGCTATGCAGGAGTTTTGGGCAAAAAAAACACTGTATCTAATTGAAACTGCAGGAGGAAGCCACAGGAGTTTCTTCTTCCTTTGATGCCTGTTCCATTACATGAGCATATCAAATAGTGTTTTCCTTCCATTGTTGGGAAGAAACCACCCTAATGAAGCTTATCGGGCACTACTCAAGGTTTTAAGTTCTTGTGTTGTCTGCTAAGTGGACATTTACATTACCATGCACCCCCCCAATACATTTTTATTATAACTAAACATTAACAAAAATTGGCTACCATATTGGTTGAGTCCCAAGCACAGCTCTGCATATAAACCATTACATGACATTCTATTGAACTTTTTCCTGTACAGACGGTATCTAACAGCTCATCCTGCACTGTTGTTTTTGGCAAGTTTACTACAGCTTATAATAAATCAAGGAAAGAAAAAGCTTTTTGGCCTAATGTTGTACAGACTGCTGTAATGTTAGACTACAGAAAGCAGTTCTGTTTTTAGACATCCTTTTACTAACCCAACATTCATAATTTATTATTTCACTGTAAAATTCCTGCAACACTACACCAAAAGTAGTTCTGCCCTTTAATTAAGTGCTCTCAGTAGGAAAAACGTGAAACTGATGTGCAAAACATATCGCAGTACACAGTGATTGATAGTGATTACTTCTTTATGAACCCAGCCTGAAGGTCTGAACTTCCTGATGGGTAAAATAGTCCATGGGGCTACTTCCTGAGATTGCCTAGTGGGGATCAGAGTTAGCAATATCTGAGGAATTCCTGAGGCATATTTCAGAGACATTACAGCAAAAACTTTCTATTTCTTTCTGCATTGTGCTTTTCAGTAATAACTACTTGCATAGTAGCTCATTGTAGAGATTATATTTTAAGGATTTGTTGTTATCTTCATGGTATTAACCATGCATGAACTGGGACTCGTGTAAACCCCTGTATTTTTCATGCCTGCATGCCCAAGTATGAAAAAGCAGAATGCACAGCAAGAGAGACTTCTGTATGTATCAGAGTTACTAGATGGTAATTAAAAGATGAGGCATAGGTCTTTTTTTACTGATATATGCAGAATATTCAAAGGAAAAAAAACAAATTAAAAAAAAACCCACCTCTGACATGGATTTTTTGAGTCTCTAAATAGCATATGTATTCATGGAATGAGTTATGAATTACATATATCAATTCAACATTGGAAAATTGGAAATTGGAAAATGAAATGGAGGTCAAGTAGTGTCTCTCCAGTTTCGCAGTGAAATTAACGGATTTACTTGTGTTGGAACCACAGAGGTGGGAAACTGAAGTTCACCTAGCACAATCACAGAAGTTCATTTTCCTTTTTGCTTGACAGATTTGGCCCTGGATTAGTCATCTACTGGTATGGATTTATTGAAGAGCTGGACTGCCATCGTGAACGTGGTATCCTGCTAAAAGACTGCTTTCCTACTGACATTGTGACTCTGCGGCACAGCATGGCTCAACACTGATGTTGGGAGGAAGAGGTAAATCCGGAAGCAGTTTTACTTTCCTGCAGTGTAAACTAACGGCAGCATCTGCCCTGAACTTCAGCTGAACTCCTGCTGCCTGCCCTTATGCTACTGCCTTTTTACACAAACATATCAAGAGTTTCTGTTTTGCTTCAGACCTCTGTTGTGATCAGCCAAAAAAGACAGACACAACCCACTCATTATCAGCATTTTTGTCTTTGTCAAACAGCTAGTTTCTAGATACTCATAATCTTTCTTCCTTCCGGGTGGCTTCTTCTAGCATTCTAAACAAAGACAAAAATGCAGAGGCTGAGAGGTGCAACTTTCAGTGCTTTTCCCAGTTACAGAGTCACCTTTAAAAATAAATGGCTTTTTATTATTTCACTTCTAAGTTTATTCAGTGCTAGTGATCTGACTGAAACAACTACACTGAGAAGACTCTTATCCTGGGATTAAAACAATAGTATGCATAGTTTAAAAAGCACAAATGGTAAGACAGGATCATATAATTTCTGGCTGTTACAGTAAATAGCCAGATTCTGAGAGAATAATTGGTGTGTTTCATCTCTACCTGATTGCTAAAATCAACTATGTAATCCCCAAATTAACAAGTAAGAAATAATCTAAATTAGGGGACTGGGGGGTGGTGCATGAAAGTGAAGAGCCAGGATTTATGTTATGCATATGAGCCTGTGAAGTTTTGGATTGTTTTTTGGGGGGGGGTTAATAAATAGCTTAATGACTCAAAAATAACTTGTGTTTTGTCTTTTCCTCCCCACCCCCCAGGGAATCTGTACATAGGAATTTTTCTCTTAACTGACTTTAAGGAAGGAATCTGTCTTGACCCCTGCATGTATGGTAACATGCAATTTTCTGGTGTACTGAAATCTGAAAGAACAATGTGCAGGAGCTCTGTGTGTTACTTCTGAAGATTACCATCCTGCTGTTCAAGAAGGGGAATGGGAAAAAAAAAAAGATAACACAGTGCTTCATACTGGATCAGTTCCACAAAACAAAAAAAACACACAAATGGGCATAAGTTTCCTGTGTACTCATTTATTCTTGTAAGAGCATTTTTTTTTTTTCTCATTATTGGAACCGTGGAGATCAGAGGTACATCGAGATAGGTATTAGCTTTCCTTGAAGTTTTGAGTTCAGTCTTATCTGTTTCCACCCTCATTGCCATGCAGAGGGGCAGTATTGGGCCTCAGGTTTGTGCTCCCAGTTAGAGGTTTCTTAATGAGAGCAGTTTATTGGGCTTGACATTCTTTAATACTCTTTTCTTTGCTAACTGGCATTGAGGAAAGGACAAGGTATTTTAAAAAGTCAGTGAGAATTTTTCGTGTATGCTCACCACGTTCAGATTTTCAGAGAAGTTAAGCAGATGTACAGATGCTGTTGTAGAATTGAAGGTGTGAGAACAGTCTCCCTAAAGCACAAGTTGGTAACAGTCTTCCGTAAGGAAAGGGTCTTTAAAACATCATTACCGTCCATATTCATCATCCTTTTCAGCTGAGGTGATACTTTGTGCGCCTGTATGATTTCAAAAATCACATGCAGACTTTTTGTAGTCTTGCCTAGAGTTAAAAGAGAGGGGAATTAATCCTATTCAGGTTTTTTCAGCTATACTTTTCAGATGCATATATAGTATTTTTATTTTGAATTTTTAGTTCTCATTTTAACACTCTTTGGTAAGCTTCAGACAGGAGTTTATAATTTTTAATAACCTTTACTTTTGGGGAAGAACTATTTTTTAGTCTTCCTAGTTCTCTGTTCCTAGCTGCAGAGATAAGCTGGTATAGGTCCGCTACAGCGAGTTACTGTTGCACCGAGATTATTTTCTTGGGTTTGAATGTCTTATAGTGAAAAGATTTCTAAAATAAATTTTAAAAATCTAACACCTGTAAATTATTAATATTCAGCTATTTAAGGTATTGTGCTTAGCTTACTTTACCTGACCAGCTTTAAGCATCAGCCCATAAAGGTATACAGAAGCACTCTGTGAAGCAGACCTGCTTGATACTACAGAGAAGCTGCATGTAGGGTGTTGCTGCCCCCTGGGACTTTTATGTGTGGTTAGGTTAGTGGAGTGTGTAACATCAAGAAGAGAATAAAAAAAGAATACAAACTAAACATTATCATACTAGAAAATTCAGAAGTAATGGTTGTCTGAGTGAAATGGGTTTTAAGGGCAAACTGAATTTGTTTTAGCTAGCGCATATGCTTTCTGTTGTATGAAATAATTTAAATCAGCTTTTACATGATGCACTAATGCTGCTTTTTTCTTTTTGAATAAATTAAATTTATCTGCACAGATGTTGAAAAGTCTGCTCAACCTCCATCAAAGCTTTGCTTTATTTGTTTTTACATTAAACAAATTTATGTGGGGACACACAGATAAATCAGGTTAGGCTTGTATTTGTTTATTTATTCCTCTATCTAATGCTGTGACACAACAGGTTGGAAAGCAGTACAGCTGTCTTTAATCAAGATTTTTACCTCATCTTTATATATTGCCCCTTTAAGAATCTTTGTGTTAGGAGGATGAAATAAGCCACAAAAGTATACATACTGTATTAATTTCATTACATGTTATCAAACAAGATTTCTAACCACAAAAATGACAGTGTCACTATTTTAAATGCTGAAAACAGAACTGTAAAAAAAAAAAAAAAAAAAAAAAAAGACTACATTGTTATTCCTACTTGTATCTTGCAAGAAACCCTCATTTGTGTATTTTTTCTCTCAGATGTAAACAACAACTTTAATATTAAAGAGGAGAAGCTACTGTTTGTTTGTGGGGTTTGTTTTCTTAAACAATGCTGTAGTCATTAGAACCTTTATATTAAAACCAAATCCAGTTTTATGGAGTATTCTGTAGAGTGTGCTAATGAATTATGCCAATCGAGAAAACAGAAGTGTGTGTAAAACTGAATGATGGCATATATAGACTTGCCAAGTGTCTGCTCTTAAAAGCACTGTAATAAGGCTTGGTCTGATCTTTAGGGAATGATGTAATTATGTTGAACAGGGAAGTAAAACTTCCTTAGATGTGGGGAGCAGCACAATAGTAGGTCACACTCTAGCATAAAAAGAGAGTTTTTTACCATTCCTGTATTCTGGAAACACACTACTAGTATGAGTTTAATAGTCTT